TGGGGAGGTTGAAGTTGAAGCTGAAGTGGAAGACGAGAGAGCAACGGACGGAGGGTTCAGCGAGTTGCTCGAGTACGAGGAGCAGAGGGACGACATGCTAAATGCTCTCCGCGTGATCGAAGAGCTGGGCAAGAAGGACGAGGTGGAGCTGCTGCAGATGCTCAGGGACATGCTGCTGCCGACCGAGGAGCAACGTGATTTCGGGGATTCTGGCGTTCCGCAGCGGAACGAGGTCGCGACCTCTCTGCCGAGCAGTCCTCGCAAGCGCCACGCCGATCCCGCGCCGATCTCCAATTGAATTAACCTTCGTAACCTGCTCCTTCTCTCCGGTTTTGTAATTTAAAATTGTTTCGTTTTCGCCGTTGAACAGATTGCTGAACAGGACTCGTGGTCGTGCTAGTTTTGACTTGACTTGATAGGTGTTTGTCAATGTCAGCGACTGTATGTCTATGTGATATTTTTTCGTCTCGTCTTTTGTGATAAATCGCTTCAAGATTGATACCTGGACTTTGATTACTCGATCGCTAAGTGAAAACTAACTATTCTTGATTCTACTTTGGGACCTGATCCTGATTACTAATTTCGAAAACTGCTAATCGCGCGAATGCTAATGATACTACATTTATTATCATAAGATTCGTAAAATTTGATCAGCGTCTACAAATGTAGGAAAAACAAGACAACAAAATTAAAGTCGTTGGTATTTGAAATAAAGTTCATTAATTTAGGAATTAAGGAAAACTGAACAAGTCCGACTACGGCGATGACAAAAAGATATTAAGTTCCAACTATACCTGTCACAACTCCGTTAGTCTCTCAGAGTGCAGTGGAGGGGGTAGCTCCAGCGATCAAGAAAATGGGGGACAAGGGCCGCCAGTTAGCCATCTCTAACTTACCACTTTACCGACCGCGTATTAGCGGTGAATAGTTGGCCGATTAATAGGCTACCGGTCGGTAAAGTGTTAAAATATGAGAGTATAATTCTATGTGTGCGAAGACGAAAGTTAAAGGTACAGATCTAGATAGAGAATCATAACGATTAATATCTTTTTATCATCGCCGTATTGGGATTTTTTCAGTATTCTTCGATTCCTAAATTAATAAACTTTATTCACATTAATTTCAAACCACGTAGGCTAAATCGCGTGTTATTTTTTTTTTTGCACGTACAAACATTATAATTGAACCATAACGGGAAAAAAAATGGAAGCTTGCGATATATATAATGGCCCGTAAGATTCGCCACGAGTTACAGCAAGGGGTTAAATCTCGCGATACTTCTCTTCGTATCGAAAGGATCGAGAATTGAAATCGACTTTCGGTTCGCCAGTTCGATCGGTTTCGCGCAAGTAGTGCGGAACGTTCGATTCTACCGTTCGAATAAAAAACGCTGCCGGACTCCTTCACGGTCGTGCGGACACGTTCGTCGAGATCTGTTATTCGACCATTGGTAATGCGAATGAATATTCACTCGGTCGTCAATGCCCGCCTGATAATCCTCCGTGTGCGGTTAGCTTTGCAGTACTGTCCAACGAAAATATGAAGAGATGGAAATAAATACGGTGGAACATCCGGATTAAATGCGAATTAAATGGGGAGAGATAAGTGTTCAGAGATTTTTCACGCCATCACGCACTGAATTTTTAATTTCAGTCGCTTGAAATAAGACCGATGCACCATTTATCTCTTCGAAGATACTTTAATTGGGTGAGGAAAGTGTTGAGAGAATTTTTTCAAAAGAATCAGAAGAGAACGACGTGTGATTGGCACTGAATTTTTTGATCTTTTGTCGCTTGAAATAAAATCGATGTCATTCATTTCTTTCAGCTATCTTTAAAAATACTTTAACATTGAATATTTAAACATTACTGATCGATCCTCCTTTTCTTTAACAAGATTAAAACAATTAAATCTAGGGGTTCCAAATCTTTCTCAGCTAAATTGATCTTTTCAAGTCACGTGGTTTTGTCTGCTTTTTTCATGCATAATTGAAACCCACTCACGGGTATGCATTTTTGCACTGAAAAACAGCAATCTTCGAATTGCTTTTCGTCTTTCGAACCATCTGCTGTTTGCATCTGCTCTAAATAGTTGCAAATAACTTCCTTTTTTAATTGGTTAGTATTGCAACGCCATATTTCTCTCTTCAATCCCGCCGCATTTACGCTTTTTCGTTTACGACAGAAGTTTGATCAACTTTATACCACGTCAATTTCAAATCTCACTGGAACCCCGTGAATTGGTTTCATCCGATGAGAAGTGTGTAAACGTACATCTAAATGCACAGTTTAGGTTAGGTTTAGGTTTTAGTCGGTAGAAATCCGACACTACATTGGTTTTCTCTCAAAAGACTTAGGTGTCTTTTTAAAGATTTCCTCCACGTAAAAAAAAAAA